ATTCTATATTTTCATTTCCTCTCCCTTCTTTTTTTGGCTTTACTTTCTCCTTTTTGTTGTTGAATATCTGATACAATTATTTTCTTTCAATCTAATACATGCATTTAAGGGCATAAATTTACACTTAAAGCCCCACTTTTCTTGCATTCCTCAAGTTTTGGTACAATGTTTTGTTGTAATTAAGTTCTAATTATTTCATAATTTCCACTCTTTAATTCTTGAAAAGTTCTGAGTCATTTTTTCTTCAAAGTTGCTTCTCTACCATGGTATCCTTTTTTCTGCTAATATACTTTTAGGTGAAATGTTCTTTGAAAAGTTCTCCATTGTACAACTCTTCTTTAATGTAAAAAATTTTTTTTCTTAAAAGTTCTCTTGATTGGCATTTTATCTACCAAAAGTTATCCCACTGTGTCTACCTGCATCAAAGCATAGAAAGAACAAGTTCCATTATTCCCATTTTAGAATTAGAGGAACTGAATCACAGTAAAGTTCTTTAACAAAAAAAAAAAAAAATATATATATATATATATATATATATATATATATATATATATATATTGATTTCAGAGAGGAAGGGAAAGGGAGAAAGAGTTAGAAACATCAATGATGAGAAAGAATCACTGATTGGCTGCCTCCTGCACACCCTGCACTGGGGATAGAGCATATTCACCAATTGGCTGGTGGGCGTGGCTTGTGGGCATAGCAAAGGTACAGTCAATTTGCATGTTTTTCTTTTATTAGGAAGGACTAGAAGCCCGATGCATGAATTTGTGCACAGGTGGGGTCAAGATGGCCCACGCCGATGGGGGCCAACTGGGCCAGGCCAGCAAGTAGTAGGGAACTCGAGAGGGGGGCAGTTGGGGCCAGGGCCAGCCTGCACCCTCTCCAATCCGGGACCCTCAAGGGATGCCCGTTTAGGCCTGATCCTGGTGTAGTCGAACATCCCTTTCACAATCTAGGACTGCTGGCTTCCAACCGCTAGCCTACCTGCCTGCATGATTGCCCATAACCGCTTCTGCCTGGCAGCCTGAACACCCCTAACCACTCCCCTGCCAGCTTGATCGATACCTAACTGCTCCCCTACCGGCCCAATCGCCCCTAACTCTCCTCCCATGTCGGCCTGGTCACCTCTAATTGCCCTCTTCAGCCAACCTGGATGCCCCTAATTGTCCTCTCCTATAGGCCTGGTCACCCCCAACTTCCCTCCCCTGTGGGCCCGGTAACCCCTAACTGTCCTCCCTTGTCAGCCTGGGTGCCCCTAACTGCCTTCCCCTGCAGGCCTGGTCCCCCCCAACTGTCCTCCCCTGCAGGCCTGGTCCCCCCCAACTGTCCTCCCCTGCAGGCCTGATCACCCCCAACTACCTTCCCCTGCAGGCCTGGTCCCCCACAACTGTCCTCCCCTGCAGGCCTGATCACCCCCAACTGCCTTCCCCTGCAGGCCTGGTCCCCCCCAACTGTCTTCCCTGCATGCCTGATCACCCCCAACTGCATTCCCCTGCAGGCCTGGTCCCCCCCCCCAACTGTCCTCCCCTTCAGGCCTGGTCACTCCCAACTGCCCTCCTCTGCTGGCCTGGTCACTCCTAATTGCCCTCCCCTGCAGGCCTGATTGCCCCCAACTGCCCTCTCTTGCAGGCCTGATACCTCCCAACTACCTTCCGCTGCGGTCATCTTGTGGTGGCCATCTTGTGTCCACATGGGGGTGGCCATCTTTGACCACGTGGGGGCAGCCATCTTGTGTGTTGGAATGATGGTCAATTTCCATATACCTCTTTTATTAGATAGGACTAGAGGCCCAGTGCACAAAATTCTTGCAAAGGTAGGGTCTTTCAGCCTGGCTGAAAATCAGGGACAATCTGTGGGGCAACTGGCAGGGCGATCAGGTGGCCCCTGCTGGCACCTGCCTTGGCCAGCCTGGTGCCATCTGCTTGCTGGCCCCACCAACCACCGGTCACCTACCTCTGTGGGAGGTGACCAGCAGGGCAATCGGGGGGGAAGGGGGGAAATACCACTGGCACCCACCTTGGATAGCCTGGGGCTTGTGGGTTGGGGGCAGCTCCTGTGTTGAGCATCTGCCCTGGTGGTCAGTGGGTGTCATAGCGAGTGGTCATTCTGCCATTCAGATGATTTGTATATTTGGCTTTTATTATATAAGAAGATACCTACACACACCACACCCAAATACCCAAATTTTATTTTCTGAGCACATTCCTAAACCTATTGTGATACTTCAATTATAAATATTTCAGTATAGACCTCTAATGATGAATAAGGGCATTCTAAATATAACTATCATACCATTATCAAACCAAAGAAACCATGCAATTAAATAGTGTCTTACATGGATGTGCGTAAGCAGACTCAAAACAAGCAATGAAGTCATCTGACTTTTGTTCTTTATCTTTGCTTGTCTAATGGACCTGAAATGGTTCTCTAGTGAATTATTTAGAAGTGACACTCAATCTGTCAAGGAACATTTCCTTCCTCAATGACCTTGAAAACAGATTTCACTTACTTCATCATCAAAATTAAGCAACAACCTTCTAAAATTTTTAAGTCAACCCTCAAAAAATCAAGTACACTGAATTTCCAGTTTGTTTTCTAACACTTCACAAAGTCTTAAAGTAAAGCCAATCAATTTAACTTTCAAAACTATACATTCCTTGTAATGTTCCATAGGAGAACTTTATATTGTACTAAACAATAATTTCACTATACTGGTGTTTTTTTTAAATATATTTTATTGATTTTTCAGAGAGGAAGAGAGAGGGATAGAGAGTTAGAAACATCGATGAGAGAGAATCATCGATCAGCTGCCTCTCGCACACCCGCTACTGGGGATGCGCCCGAAACCAAGGTACATGCCCTTGACCGGAATCGAACCCAGAACCTTTCAGTCCCCAGGCCAACGCTCTATCCACTGAGCCAAACGGTCCCAGCTATACTAGTTTTATAGGGGGAAAAAAACTATTGTTCTTAAGAAAAACAAACAGCATTGATAAGCCAAGTAAACCTGTCTATAAATGAAAAAAAACAAAACATGTTAAGTATAGTTGTGAAATTAGATTTTTTTTAAAACACATGATTTTTTCAGTGGATATAATTTAATCTCAGTCACTGATGTTAGGGACTAAATAAGATAAAGAACAGCCAAAACCGGTTTGACTCAGTGGATAGAGGGTCGGCCTGTGGACTGAAGAGTCCCGGGTTCCACTTCGGTCAAGGGCATGTACCTTGGTTGCGGGCTCATCCCCAGTGTGGGGTGTGCAGGAGGCAGCTGATCAATGTTTCTCTCTCATCGATGTTTCTAACTCTCTATCCCACTCTTCCTCTCTGTAAAACAATATAAAATAAATAAAGAAAGAAAGAACAATAAAATCCTATCCTTGATGCCCTGGCCTTGGCCAGGGCACTCAGAAAAGACAACCAATGGATATTCTCTCCCACACTGTATTTGTGTGTGTGTGTGTCTTTTTCTCCCCTTTCCTCTCTCTTTAAAAATTAATGAGCATATCCTTGGGGAAGACTTAAAGAAAAGACCATGCAAGTCAGTTTAAGAGGTTTATTTCTAAAGAAACAGCAATATAACCTGAAGCTAATATTTAAAAGCTAAACTGTATCATACAAATAAGAATTATACCTATAATCACCGAAGTGTTTAAGATCAATCTATAATTAAATAGCTAATAAGAAGAGTGTTTACTATATACTACTAGGCACTGTCCTAAATATATTCCACGAATTCAATCCTCAGAGCAATCTCATGTTTTTACTCACTCACACAAAAGTGACAGAGAGGTACTAGCATAAAATATGACCTCGGCCTTAAAGTAGAGAATAGTAGAATGAAAGAATATTTATGACCTCGGCCTTGAAGTAGAGAATAGTAGAATGAAAGAAGGCCATTTCAAGAAAATGGAAAAGCAGAAACCAAAATATAAATACGACAAGTGTCCAGATAAGACCAAACAAAAGTTCCAAATTGCAGAAATTAGACTGGATAAATAGAATAGGATTGGATTATGAGAGGCCTTACATACCTAGCAAATTATGACAATTTTACAAAATAGCAAGAGCAAGCAAGCACCACTACAGGTTCTTATGTGCTAAAAGTGCCCTTTTAGAAATGAAAGCCTGGTAATGACTGAGAGAGAAATGAGAAACTCACAATTTCTAACATTTACATGCCAGCTCAATAAATTATCTTGTGCCTGAGAAACCAGAGAGCACACACTGAACCAACTGCACCACCCTTCTTATCAATAAGTCCATAAACAATAAACAAGAAAATGGTAAAAAATAATTGCAGAATGCCCTGAATTATTTTCCCAATATACCTTCAGTGAAGTTAAAAGGTACAACTAAACTATATCAGTAGGAAGTACTAATCAAATTATATGACTATTTTTGCTGTTCAGTACTAAGTCAAAACAATTTTGCCAAAGCATAAATTTTACAGTGTTTAGTGTTTATTCAATAAAAGCTACGTCACAAACAAATGAATTAACATAATATTTCAACACAAAGAGTCTTTGTATTGCTTTAGAACTATTATACTATTTACTGAGGTAGTAAACTAATTTTTATAAACAGCCATTATGTAAATGATACACTTTGAAATTAATGTCACATTTATCCATACACTACTTAAGAACTAGGTGTTTATTATCCATACAATAAATTCTATAATCTACATCAAGCTTACAAAAAGACTCTATGGCAAACAACTTCCTTTCTTTGTAATTAAATGAGCTTCTAAAGAGAAGAAATGTGAGAAAAACATCTCAAGCTTGAAAAAACTAGCTTACTTACCAGTAACTTGAGTTATCCTATTGGGTCTTTTCCCTCACAGATCCACCTCTCTTGCCCTTCTGTCCAGCATGAGTCTTCCTGATGGACAGCCACTGGAACTGAGGGGGCATGCAGTACAGATGTATATGTAAGAAAGTTGGGGGGAGGGGATTTGGAAGATGCTAGAGACATGCTTCAGTGCACTTGCTTACCTTCCTGAAATTGGAAATTTCAACGGTTCCTTGGTCCTCGAGGCATTCACAATAACTTCATAGAATGTGGATCTGTGGAGATTACCCAATAGGAGAACTCCAGTTACTGGTAAGTGGTCCAGCTTTTTCTTCTCTATCAGAGTAAGAAAATTATTTCATTTTATTTGAGATTATTAATACATACAGAACTACAGAGAAAGGGTTATACATTCACCAGATAACTACATATACATGCACCAAAGCAAATACAGAAACTATCTGCTAACTACAATGTCAACAATAACTTCTGACATTAGAAACACAAGCCGCCAAAAAAAAAATATTTGAATGGTTTCATTTGTAAAGTTCCACTATAATGGCAGTTATGTTTTAATATACAAATATATCAGTTACCACACTATTCCATTTCACTGAAACAATACCATCATTTTTAATATTAGTACAAGGATAATTAGTTGATCAAAATCTGTCATTCCCTAACTAGCCATTTCATTAACATTCACTGAATTTTGGTTTTGAGGCCACTACAGTGGATTAACAATACATAGGCTTCAAATAAAAAGCATCAACACAATTCCCATTCAGCACTCAATAAGTCTTTAATCATTTGACACCTACAACAAATCAACCACACACACATATAAAAGTATGTCAGGCCATGGACAAATAACAACACTGATTTTAATTTAGTTGTACAGAGTAATAAGGTAATATTTTTTATTAACTGTTATTCTTAAAATAATTGCCTAAAAATGGACGTCATTGAAAAAATCTGTTTCTAACAAAAGGAAAAAAGATCTATTAAACAGAACTTTATCTTTAAGCTCACATTAATAATCCTATTACCTTAACTGAATACATATTGATCAGGTACCTGTTAATTTTAATGTGATACAGCAGTGATGACTTTGTAAACACCAATTCTTGTTGAAGATACAAAGAGATGTTTCAATAATACACCTCCCTTTTACGATTATGTTAATAAATAACTATCCCTGGGGGAGATAAAAGATCAACCGAAGGACTTGTATACATGCATATAAGTACAACCAATGGACACAAAACTCTGGGGAGGGAGGGTATGTATGGGGGGACGGTCAATGTTAAAATATGTACACAGATAATAATTTAATAATAAATAAATATCCCCCCTACCCTCAAGAAATTTTGGTTTCATGGTTCTTCATTCTATGAAAACAAATTAAAGATAATATATCTTTTTTCCTTTGTTTTAATCATAAACAGGATAAAATTGTATGTAAAATAGTTATTCAACAAAAAATTAAAATGTAATTTTAATAAATATCTTACATTCCTATCTTGTTATAAAATATTATATTTCATAAAGGCTAACAGCAAATCCTTGGTGGGGGCCAGAGATTCTTCATTTCCTTTTTGTCTTTTTAATCTTTATTATTGAGATTACAGATATCCCTTTTTCCTCCCCTAGTTCCCCACCACCCAGCTCCCACCCCACCCCAGGCCCTCAACACTCTATTGTCTGTGTCTATAGGTACTGCACACAAGCATATAAGATCTTTGTCTAATCTTTTCCTGCACTCTCCCACACCCCCTTCCCTCTGAGAATAGTCAGTCTGTTCCATTTCCATGCCCCTAATTCCATTCCACTCACCAGTTTATTCTTTTCATCAGATTGCTGTTCAAATTTTAGATTCACTTGTAGCTATATATTTGTTGTCACTTTGTTATTATTTATCTTTACCTTTTTCTTTTTCTTCCTCTTCTTAAAGAATACCCTTCAGCATTTCATATAATACTGGCCTGGTGGTGATGAACTCCTTTAGCTTATTCTTATCTGTGAAGCTCTTTATCAATTCTAAATGACAGATTTGCTGGGTAGAGTATTCTTGGTTGTAGGTTCTTGCTACTCATTGCTTTGAATATTTTTGGCCACTCCGTTCTGGCCTACACAATTTCTATTAAAAATCATCTGACAGTCATATGTGTACTTCCTTATAGATAACTATTTTTTTTCTTGCTGCTTTTAAGATTCTCTCTTTGTCTTTTGCTCTTGGCATTTTAATTAGGATGTGTCTTGGTGTGGTCCTCTTTGGATTCCTCTTGTTTGGGGTTCTCTGCGCTTCCTGGACTTGTAAGTCTATTTCTTTCACCAGATAGGGGAAGTTTTCTGTCATTATTTCTTCAAATAGGTTTTCAGTATCTTGCTCTCTCTTCTCTGGCACCCCCATTATTTAGATGTTGGTATGCTTGAAATTGTCCCAGAGGCTCCTTACACTATCTTCATATTTTTGGATTCTTTTTTCTTTTTGCTCTTCTGGTTGGGTGTTTCTTGCTCCTCATATCTCACATCACTGACTTGATTCTTGGGATCCTATAATCTATTGTTGAATCCCTGTATATTATTCTTTATTTCAGTCAGTGTATACTTAATTTCTGACTGGTCCTTTTCCCTTTCTTTTTTGGGGGGGAGCATTCTCACTAAGATCCTTGAAGGTCTCACTAAGTTCCTCAGAGAATTTGAGAAGATTCTTGAGTAACTTTATAATTGGTGGTTTTGAACTCTATATTCAGTAGTTTGTTTTCTTCCATTCATTTCATTTGTTACATGTTTGTCTCCACATTTTGGCTGCTTCCCTGTGTTTGTTTCTATGTACTGGGTAGCTGCTAAGTCTCCTTGAGTTGACAGAGTGGCCTTGTGTAGTAGAGGTCCTAGGCTCAGCCTCCCCAGTCACCTGAGGTGGACACTCTTGGTGCACCCCTTAGTGGGCTGTGTTCAGTCTTGTTGTATTATAGATGAACTTTGATTGATGTTGGTATCATTGGGGAGAATTGACATCCAGGCCAATCGGCTGTAGGGACCAGCTGTGACTTCAGGGGGAGAGCTGCTATGCAGGAGACACCCCTATGTGGCAGGACTTGCTTCAGTGGGGCTTTGGTGCCCACTGAGTCTGTCCTTTGAGTGTGTCACTTTTGGATGTGAAAAGTTGTAATCTGCTATAGTCTCACACTTACCATTGGGTACACTGGCTCTTGGATCTCCGAGGTGCAAAGTCAGCCACTACTTGGGGCCACTCAGCAGGAACTTCAGAGAGATCAACAGATTCCTCCTCTTTGTATGGGGTTTGAAAGTGCCCAAATAAGGCCCAGTAGTGAAGCAAGGCAGGCTGATGCTGGTGCCAGCCTTAGGCTTTTTATTAATAGCTTTGGGGCTCCCTGACCCAGCTGCAGCTTGACAGGTTTTAGGCTAAGAAATGACAGGCTATCATATGCAAAAGCTGCTGCAAACAGCTTGGTTGGGGTTGTAAACTGGGTAAGGCAGGGTCTCAGGGCATCTCCAGGGTGGAACAAACAAATATCTGCCAGTCAGCCCTATACCAGAGAGGTCCCAGCACAGGAACAATGACTACTGAGAGTACCTCCATCTGGAAGAAAGCCACCCCCTCGTTCCTGCCCTGAAGCCAGACAGTCCAGTTTCTCCCCGTATTTGTCTGGGTCCCTCAGAGCTCGCACTAGAACTCAAAGCAAGTGGGAGCTTGTAAATTCAGTTTGCAGTGCTGGCCTTTTAATAGGAGTAGCTTGGTTTCTAGCAGTCTGTGTGTCACTCACCTCCAATCCAGACTGATTTTTACAGGCCATAGTTCTTTACTGCCCATAAAGACTTCTTTCCCCAGCTGAGACCCTGGGCTGGGTGTATGGTGTGGGACTGGGACTCGCTGCTCCTCCAGGCAGCCTCCAAAGAGATGATCTCCCTCCCAATTAAAAAAGCAGCACACTCAGGTGCCAGACCAGCCCGTCCCATGCCTCCACACCTCCTACCAGTCTCAGTGTTCTTTCTTCTTTATCTCTCTAGTTGTAGTACTTCCACTTACCAGCTTTCCTGCGGTTCTGGATGACAGTTGTTCTGTATTATAGCTGTAATTTTTATGTGATTGTGGGAGGCAGCAAATGCAGGCATTTACCTATGCCACCATCTTGGTTCTCTCTTCTTTTTTTTATGTTTTATTCATTTTAGAGGGAGAGGAAGGGAGGAGAGATAGAAACATTGATCACACCTCCTACTGGAGAAAAAGTCCTCAACCTGTACATATGCCCTGAACTGGAATCTAACTGGTAACCTCTTAGGACTTGGGATGATGCTCAATCAACGGAATCACAGTGGCCAGGGCAAAAATCTTCATTTCTAAAGGACACCAGGTGATACCAATACCACTGTTCTTTGGACCAACTTCAATAGCAAGGGTCTACAGAACAATATGTCCCAACATGTTCTGGTCAAGTAAGGTTGAGAACACTCAAATAAAACAAGTTGTTCTTCTAAGAAACTTTTATTCAATTCTATGAAGATTACATACAATATTTTCAAACTTTGACTTCTTATTTTCAAAGAGCATTCCCTAGGATTAGTGTCTGTGAAACATACTGGAGCACAGAGGGTCAGGCAAGTTGAAAGCAGTCATGGAAAGTCAGAGAAGGCCACCAATTTGGAATTCTCCTCCTTTCCCCATTCTTCCAAATAGATACCTCAACTTGCACTTTTAAATGCTAATATCTATGTGTAAAAAGACAGAAAAAAAACACATTAAACACAACAAAATAGAGCTTTCTTTGGCTGGAGATATTATAACTAGGGGCCCAGTGCACGGCTTCATGCACCTTGAAAGGAACTGTGGGCTGTGTGGCTGCAGTGAGCACAGGGGTAGATCTCGGCCCATCTTGCATGCTCCTGCCCAGCTCCTCACACCATGGCCCCTGAGTCCCACCTGCCACTCCCACATGCTGATGGTGCAGGCCCGACTCGCACTGCTGACAGCACAGAGAAATTGGGGCCCGCGCCCGAGAAGTGGGATTGGCAACGTCAGCAAGTTCAAGTGGCAGCTGCTTCCCCGATCGCCCCTCAGAAGCAAAGGGGAGGTGGAGAAGCCCTCAGGGGTGATTGGCGGGCAGCAGCCACTCACACCAATAGCGACCAGTTGTTCGGTTGCTCATTTGTTCCACAGTTCGGTCTATTTGCATATTAGCCTTTTATTATACAGGATGGTGGGCATTCTTATTTTCCTCCTTATACTTCTTCATTCTTTTAGTATCTTCAG